GGGGAGGGGAGGGGAGAGGAGAGGAGGGGAGGGGAGGGGAGGGGAGAGGAGAGGAGAGGAGAGGAGAGGAGAGGAGAGGAGAGGAAAGAAAGAAAAGCAAGAAGAGTAGGCACCCTCACACTTGCAGTTTCATGGCCTGACATTTCCTTATATTATCTCATGTGCTATTGAAATGCTATTCATGAGGATGAACACTGAAACATTGCCTGTCTATGTCAGGAACTTTGACCTCTTCGCAGTTCAGAAAGTAGGCTTATAACCTAAAATGTGTTCTGAAGTCACATATATACATGACTGTACCTGTGTGTGTATATAAAGGTTCACTAAACTTGCTAAAGACTGTTCTGAGCTAACTACTTTTGTAGACATTATCTAATGTACAAACGTATGTGACTTTCCTGTCTGGGTTGAGAACTACCCCTACTTTTATAGGCCCTTATGCCTCAGATTAATATCTGTACCTTAGTCTGGGCTGTTGACTGTCCCAAGCAAGTCTAAGAGTCATGAACTCCATAGATGAATATCTATAGTTAGAGTCCCTTACTTGGGAGATCTAACCCCAGGGTTAAAAGAACCATGTGAAGATATTCATTATTACCCACCATTACTCAGACTCAAATTAGATGATCCGTCACCTGTCCAACATGTACCATCTCTCTATTGGCCTCGCAGGAATTCAGTACTGTAGCTCCTAACTACCTTCTGTCTTCTTTGTGCTATATGTGCAGAGCCAGAGGAAGTTGTCCCTGCACTGCAGCTAGAGTTGCGTCATCTCCTTGTTCCTGGGGAACCTCTATAATGTCTTATTCTTTACAAGAGGCTGAGGTATAGACTGCTTGAGGACATATCAATTCCAGCCTGCAAAGCAGCAAATATGTAAAGTGTTACCTGTAGTACTGGAAGGCAACTCTGCTTCCATGAAAGCACATTCCCTGGTGGCTAAGGATGCTAAGCACTTTTAAAAGCACTTATTGGCATCTGTGTTTCTTCTTTTGAGAACTGTATGTTCAGTTCAGTAGGCTTTTTATTGATTGTATGATTAGATTTTGTTGTTTAAATTTCTGTTCTTTATCTATTCTATGATCTTAGTCCCCTGTCTGATGTGTAGCCAGTAGGATCCTGTACCATTTCTGCAGGCATCCTTCACTCTGGTGATTGTTCCCTTTGCAGTACAGTAGCTTTTTAATTTCACATAGTCCTATTTCAGTTCTTAGGGAGTTTCCTATGCTATTTGGATCCCTGAAATAAAAATCCTGTGCCTAGATCTTGAAGTGTTTCACTTGCTTTCCTCTAGCAAGCTAAGAGCTGCAGAACTTAGCATGACCTAGTCCTGGGTGGGTGGACTCTATTTCCATCCTCTCCTTTGATCCATTTGAATAGGTTCCTGTGTCGGGTGAGATGTGCACCAGGTTTCCTTCTGTGCCTGCCTCTGTAGTTCTAGCATTCATGATTATCAGAACTGTGGATGCTCCAGTGTAGTCTGTTAGATGATTTTGATGACATCTTGACTTCTGGGGCAAGGAAAGGATTTAAGACAAGGAACACATGCTTGCTTACAGCTCTAACCTTTTGTGTGGTATCCATATACTTCATACTTTCCATAGTGTTCCTGACTGCAAGATACTGGCCTGAAACTGAGAAATAGTCAGTCCTGAAACTGTACCTTCATATGTCTGTGTGTGACTAGAAGCATGGAAACATTCCTGATGTGGCTTGTAAATTTTTGAGGCACCTTTCACCTCAAGGGTATAGGTCTGTACATGTGCAGTGACCTCTATGTTATGTCTGATTTTAAACACAGTATCCAACTCAGAGACACAGTTAAGGAAGCAAGGTGAGATGTTCTTATTTCTGCCTTTAGAATTAGCAAGGTTTCCTTCCAAGAGTAGAGTGTCTGGTCAGAAATGACTTCTATTCTAGAAACATGGTGTAGTCTGAGGAAGCGCTGGTTAGAAAGAGCCTACTCCTGAGTGCCCTGGCCTTGCCAACCTCCCTCACATGCTGTCTTGTACATGTCCCACCCTCTCCCAAGTGTAACTCCTCCCCCCCCCAAAAAAAAACATCTTTGAATCTAGGACCTTGCAAATCTATTTTCCTTTGCTGAGGCATTGACCTACCACTCAGTTGGTTCAATCTAGATCAAACAACTATTAATGAGCCAATCACAACAGACAGGAAGGTGGAATAGGAAGACTGCCACTTGACCACTGTCAAAGAAAGGTAAAGGGATGAATGGCTGTACCCTAACCTATAGTGTGAGCAAAAGAGAGACTGTTCCCAAAGGAAACCAACTAGGTAATAACATAGAAGGAATGGAACGATACAAAGATGCCTGAAGATTTATAGTACTTCTTGGGAGATTCTGGCATTAACTAAGATTAAACACAAAAGAAGAGAAAGAAGATAAGAATTTTGAGATAATGAACATGGTCTGAACTTTGAATATGGTTGAGATGCAGTCAGAATAGCTACATATAATATATAATAGCTACAGGACTATGTGCTGTTGGGGATATGATCAAGGTCATGGCGAAAGATGAGATCACCAAATCTTTGAGACCATCATATTCTGGTGTTAGCCTTGGTCTTTCCTTTCTGCTTTGTTCTTTCTGTATTTAACTCTTGGATTTGGACTTGGTGATTCCTTTGGTTAAAAGTCAGGTGACATTATTTAACCACCTGTGACCTTATATTTTTCTAACATTTTGGAATCTGCCATAGATAACCTGTTATCCTGTTCTGCTTGTTCATGTAGCTTCTTGTGAGCCTTGATTTTGAGGGACTGAATTTAGGGTTAATTTGAAATATAGTGTGATGACAAGTCCCCAAGTAGAGATGCTGAGGAAATAACTGGACAACAGGGACATCTGGGTAAAAAGTAAAGACTAAAGATAGGGTTAGGACATCTCCTCTTTAGGAAATGACTTAATCTGTGATGCTGGGTCAGCCTCCCTGGAGCGTGACTGTAACATTGAGCCTTCGTGGTGACCAGGCTTTAGTAAATGGAGAGAGGAGGCCAAGGTCAGAACTAACAGAAACGTCTAGAAAAGTGGGAGGAATGCAGGTGTGTTCCTGGCTAAAGCAGGGAGTTTCGGAAGGATGTTCTACAGTAAGAAGAATCAAAAAGAACAAGCTGAAAAGACCCCTGGACTCAGGAGTAAACCAGTCACTGATGATTTTTGTAAGATTTGGTAAATGACAGAGTGAAGACCACATTTCAGAGGTAGAGGAAAACAAATGGTGAGTAAGTGAGACCAGCCAGACGGATATGTAGGCCTGCTGTGTGTGCTGCCATGAGCAGTCGGACTGCCCTTTGGGGGGTTCAGGGCAGGCTGAGATAGCAAGAATTCCATAAAAACGTTCATTGCAGTAAATCCTGAAGAGGTGATGTGTGTATCCTGGACTCTGTTTAATGGGCAGGCAGACATGTTTTCAAAGTTATAAGGATGTTTTAGTTTGGGATTTTATCTGTTCTATTTTAGTTAAAGGTTTCCATTTTCCATAAGTTAGGAAGCAGAGGCTCAATTTTGTTTCATTTAGTGTCAGAATATTCCATGTACAGAGAAACGGTCTGTAAAAACTGCTAGCCAGAGTATGTGAAAGCAGGCAGGTCATCCTATTCTACCCCTGAACTCACCCACAAAATGGGTCATTTTCATTAGAGGAAGTTGGAGAACTGAACTGAATTTGTTTTCTTCCCAGTGAGGGGGTGGAAGTGACACACCCTTTTCCTCAGTTACACGCTTAATGTTTGAAGGAGAAACCTATTTTTCCTGTCAGGTGAAGTTTGTTAGGCTGAGCAAGGAGAGGAGCCCAGTGCAGATCACACTGAGCAGAGAGAGGAATGGGCGCTTCCATAACTGGTGCATGGTTTCCTCCTGCGACTCTGACTTGGGTGCTTGGGTCTTTAAGGAGAGAATGAGAGTTCTCTTAATTCCTCCACTAGATGAACTGGCCTCAAAACAGGTTTTTAGGACCGTGCCTTTCTGTGTGATGCAGCCTTTTCCTCTCCGGGGCCTTGTTTCCCTCAAGTCTGGTGCTGTTCTTGCAGGTATTTGCCCAGAACCACAGCTAAGTTGGCAGTCAGGTGCAGTTTTCTAAACTGTAGATATTGAGTCCTGTGGTGGGGTATAGGCTCATTGGTAAAGTGTTTGCTTACCAGAGTTCTAAAAGAAAGGAGAGGAGAGGGCGTGGGAAAGGAGAGATGGAAAAAGAAAAGGCACGAACTGTAATCACCTTGTGTTTGTCAGTTTCTCTATCTACATGATGAGTGTTCTGAGTTACGTACCTCTGAGAATAAGCCTTTGGATTCCAGTCCATTGTTTTTCTGTGGTTGAGACTAATGGCCTAGAATATTTTTCTTTGACATCCTTACTTCAGAGAAGTGTCTCATAGTAAAGGGACTAAGGTACGAGTTTGAGGGAAATTGAGAGTCTGGGGGCTCAGCCTGGTGAGATGCACGGCTGAGACCTCTGGGATCTTGTTTCCATGTCAGTAGTCATGGACTCAAGCAGTCACTTGAAGTACTCTGGAGAGTAGATTCCCCGTTTGTAAGATCACAACATGGAACTAACATCTCTGGCATCACCCATGACATTCTAGAGTCAATTCTAGAAAATCACCTGTTGTTAGACCTCTTCTTTGAGGATCCAAACAGATCATGGCAAAATTACCCCCATTGCTTAGAAGTGCTGACCACCAGATGGCTGGATTGTCTGATGTTTCTCAGCAGAGCACAGACTGTGACATCTGACCAAGAGAAACGATTACTGCATCAGCTCCGAGAAATCACAAGGGTCATGAAAGAAGGCAAGTTCATTGACACATCTACTCCAGAGAAGGAAGCTGAGGAAGCCCCTTACATGGAGGACTGGGAAGGTAAAATGCCCCCTTACTTCTTTATTAGCTGTCACCCAGAAAAGACATCTTACCAGTTTCCTTAAAAATCAGCTTGTACTGAGGCATGACAAATCTCTGTTCTCACTTGTATAATGTTTACCTTTTATAAATGTGCAGTTGGAAAGTTTGGCAAACATCTATAGTTGTAATCACACTCAGGATAGAACAGTTTCATCATGCTAGAAAGTCCTGCCCTCCTGCCTCTGGCAGCAGCTGAGCTGCTTTCCACCCAATAATTGGGCTTTTCCTGTATAAACGGATTGTACTGCAGATGCGCTGTGGTGGGTGTCTTCTGTTTAGAGTAATGCTTTTGAGAGTCATGTGTGTTGTTGAGTGTGTCACACGTTCTTTCTGAAATTGCTGGAGTATTGTATAAATATACCACAGCTTGTTCATCCACTTAGTAGCTGATTAACACTGGGCTTTTTCTGGCTTTGAACTGTGGGGTCCGAGCTGCTGTGAGGTTTGCATGCAAGGCTTCTCATGGCTTCTTTTGGACACACTGTGCTTCTCTTTCAATATAGGACTAGGATTTCAGGGTTTATAGTCCGTATATGTTTAAATTTATAGATACTGTAAGCTAGCTTTAAAGTGGCTGTACATTTTCACCAGTAGCTTGTGAGTCAGTTATCCCATATCCTTGCTAATACAATGTCTCTGTAAATGTTAGCCATTCTGTGAGATTTCAGCGGTATTGCAGTCATAACTCAAATTTACATTTCCCCAGTGACTTATGATGCTGAACATTTTTTCATGTGCTTATTTCCAAACTGCATATCTTTGTTGAAGAGCTTGTTCTAATTATTATTTTTGATTATTGGTTTGAATGTGTTTTTATTAAGTTGCAGCATAATTTATTTTCTGTATGGAGGTATTTTTTGAGACAAGGTTTTGTGATACAGTAGCCCTGGCTGGGCTATAGTCACTGTATAGCACCCAGGCTAGTTAGTCATGAATGCATTATCCTTGTGCCTCAGCATCCCTAGTACTGGGATTATATATGTGCATCACCGTTCCCAGCTCTAAGAGCTTTTATGTATCTTGGATGCAAGTACTTTACCAGTTAGGTATTTTACATGTATTTTCTCATAACCTGTGACTCGCCTTTTTATTTCCTTAATAGCATCTTTCAAAGAGAAGCCTTAAATTTTTATGAAGTTATATTTTTCATTTAACTCATATTTTTATATGTTCTGTTTAAGACATCTTTACCTTATTCAAAATGTTTTCCTCTAGAAATTATGTGACTTTAATGCTTGCATTTAGGTTTATTTGAGAATCAATTTTTAATTAATATTTTTGAAATTAAAGTATAATTACATCATTTTCTCCCTTTCCTTTCCTCCCTCCAATCCCTCCCTTGAGTTAATCTTTATAGATGGTAGGCATCAGAACTTAAATTTGCTTTTTCATATCTCATTATATCACTCTCCTTTAATTTGATTTAGCACACTGGTTGAAAATCAGTTGACTCTCTCTTTCTCTCGGTGTGTGTGTGTGTGTGTGTGTGTGTGTGTGTGTGTGTGTGTGTATTTTCCTAGGTGTGAAACCTAGAGCTTTGCACATGTGGGCACATGCTCTGCTACTGCGCTCCATTCCTAGTCTAATACCAAATGTCAGCCCTGAAAACATACATACATACATACAGGTAACATACAGATTGAGAAGGTTGTATTTATATGTTTAGGGAATGCACATCACATACATACATACATACACATGTCACAACAATTACAGAAAAAGAGCCCTGCATTGGTTTTTTAGTTCTAGAATAACTACAACATGTGTTAAGACCTTTTTTGTCATGCTAATATATGGCTAGACTCAGTTTTCAAAGGCTTCCCCCCTTTTATTAAAAATAGATTCTTTTCTCATACAGTATATCCTGATCACAGTTTCCCCTCCCCTACTCCTTCCAGTTCCTCCCCCACCTCCTTGCTCCTCCTGATCCACTGCCTTTTTGTCTCCCATTAAAAACAACAGGCTTCTAAGAGATAACAATAAAACATAAAATAAAATATAGTAAGATAAAACAAAAACCATCCCATCAAAGTTGCACAAGGCAAAGCAGCAGAAGGAAAAGAGCCCTAAGGAAGGCATAAGATCCACTAGTTCACAAACTCAGGCGTCCTATAAAAGTTCTGGCTGAAAGCCATAATCTACATGCAGAGGACCTGGTACAGACCAGGTCTACCCTGTGCTTACTGCTTAGCTTTGCTCAGTTGGTTTAGAGGGTCTTGTTCTCCAGTCTCCTCCATCCACCCCATCTGGCTCTTGCACTCTTTCTGCTTCTCTTCCTTGGGGTTCCCTGAGCTCTGAGGGGAGGAACTGGATGGAGACATCCCATTTAGAACCGTGTATTCCAAGGACTCCCTCTCTGTATAATGTCTGGCTGTGTGTCTCTGTATTTGTTTGCAAAGATTATTTTTTAATGCTGGTGTTTATAAAGGCTACTTACTAGTGATTTTCTTTTATCCTATACTGTCTTTGGACTTGATTTCAGAGTAATGCCTTGCACTGGGGTTGCAGTCTTTTCTGGAAGTTTGTGTTGAAGTGCTGCTAATCCATAGTCATTAGTGGAGTTTATCTGGGCCTGCCTGGGGGATTTTTGTGTTTTGGAATGTGTGTGCAGGTGCATATGTAGACTTGCAAGAATAAATTGAATTTCTTTAATACTTTAAGTAAGCTTTGAAAGTAGTTTTATAAGTTTTGCATACTTCATACAAATGTCTTGTTAGAAAATATTGTTCATAATCTTCTCTACCTACTTACTGTCTGTGACACCAGTGGAATATATATTATATATAATAGTTATATATAATATATGTAAATTTATATATATTTGAGACAGGGTTTCTCTGTAGCTTTGGAGCCTGTCCTTAGACCAGGCTGGCCTTGAACTCACAGAGATCTGCCTATCTTTGCCTTCCAAGTGCTGGGATTAAAGGCGTGAACCACCACCACCTTTAATGTGTACTTCTCTGTACTGATACTAATAATCTTTTCTTCCTCTCACTTCGTTTCCTGATCAACTGGACAGACTTATAACTTTTGATCTTTTCAAAGACCTGTGTTTTGTTCTCATTGTGAGGTTGGCTCTGGAATATACTTGAGGGCTGGTTTAGCCTTAGTAAGCCTTGTTTAAACCCGGTTTCTGACAAGTCTTCTCTGGATAGAACACAAGCTCTTCTTACCTATGTGTAAGTTTAGGATGTCCTTACTGCTGACACCTAGTGGCATCCTGTTCCTTCCCATGTCAGTGCTCAGCTACAAACGTGAGGCTCCCTCTGCATGTCTCTGAAGTATTTAATTAAGAAGCTCTGTAGTTCTCAGCAAATTCTGACTTCCCTTCCTTCTCTGAACTCTCATGTCTGTTTTTCTGAACTCAGGGAATTCCATGGGCCCCCTTTTCCCTTCTAGGGATTATTGTGGCCCACTTGTTTGTCGTATTTGAAAATGTGCACAAGGTATAAACAGACGTTTCAGCAGCGAGGATACAGATCACAAATGCACACATTAAAGCATATTCAACATAATTTTCCTCTTAGAAAATGCAAATTAAAATTAGAATAAGATAGCAGGGTATAGTAGTGCACACCTTTAACCCCAGCAGAAGTAGAAGCAGAGGCAGGTGGATCTCTGTGAGTTTGGGGCCAGCCTGGTCTATATAGTAAATTTGGGCAAAGGGGCTATATAGTGAGGCACTGTTTTAACGTTTTTGTTTTTGTTTTTGTTTTTTTTAAAAAAGGATGCTTCTCCATACCTTTCAGAATGACTGAAATAAGAAATTGCACCAGATTGGACTACAAAGAAAGTATTATGTTTACATTGGTAGTGAGATATGGAAGGGAATGCATGTGTTATTAGTTACTTTTCTGTCTCAGTGACCAAATGATTTCTCTTGCCCGTGGCAGGAAGACTTAGTGGAACATCCCATTTTACAACAGGGAGGGTTCAGAAAGCAGAGAAGTGGCCAGGCATCTATCCTCAGCAGTCTATATCTTCCAGCTAGGCTTTGCCTCCTCCACAGCCTCCTAAAAAAGAACTACCAGCTGGGAACCAAGCATTAAAAATAGGAGTTTGTGAGGGACATTTTGTATTCAATCCACAACAGGATGTTTTGGAAAACAAAGTAGTAGATTGTTAAAAAAAAAAAAATCTAAGCATGTAAATACTATGTAACACAGCAGTTGCAGCCTTGATATTTATACCCAAGAAATGAGGGCAGGGACATGCAGGACTTGTACATGAATATTCATAGCAGTTTTATCTAATAGGTAAAAGCTAGAATCAATTTAAATATCCTTTAGCAGGTGACTAGTTAAATGGTGGTACATGCATTACATAGTATACCACAAAGCAATAAGAAGGAATGAATTATTGATACATGTAGAGAATTATGCAGGGTGAAGGGTAGAAGCTTATTCAAAAAACTATGATTCTATATGTATAATACTCTTCAAATGGCAAAGTTTGGGAATAGATAACATACTAGTAATTGTTAGGAATTGAGGAGCAACATGCTGGTAGGAAAGAGAGGTTGTGGTCATGAAGGGCAACAACATAAGGCAGCCTTGTGGATGAATATATTCTCTACTATATGTTTTTCTTTTTGTGTATGTTGAATGCATGCATGTGTATGGAGTGTGTATGCATGTATGCATATTCACGTGTGTGTTCAGGCAAAAGGTTGAGGTCAGGTGTCTTTTTTATTTTTATTTTCAAGCGTTTTTCTTAATTTCTTTCCACCTTATATATTTAGGCAGGAACTCTTGTTTAAATCCAGAGCTTTCCAATTTCACTAATCCAGCTAGCCAGCTTGTCTTGAGAGTCCTGTCTCAGCCTCCCAAGCACTAAGATTACAAGCAAGTTGTTCATGCACACCTGCTGTGTATGTGGTGTTGGGGATTAAATGCCAGGCCTTGTGCTTGCAGGACAAGGGCTTTTCTGTTGAACTATCTCCTTACTCCTGCTCTGCTAATGTAGATATCTTGTATGGTGGTTTGAAAGAAAATAGCTCCCAAAGGGGTGGCACTATTGTTGGAGTGCATATGGTCTTCTTGGAGGAAGCATGTTACTGTGGGGGCGGGCTTTGAGGTGTCTGTCCTATGCTCATGGTAACCCAGTCTGTCAGTCAGCTTCTGGTTGCCTGCAAGATGTAGGACTCTCAGCTATTCCTCCAGCATCATTTCTACCTGCATGCCACCATGCTCCCCACCATGATGATAATGGACTGAACCTCTGAAACAGTAAGCCAACCACTCCAGTTGAATGTTTTCCTTATAATAGTTGCTGTGGTCATAGTGTCTCTTCACAGAAATAAAAACCCTAACTAAAATATCTTGGTTATGATATTATGCTGTATTTTTCTTTGTGCCATCAATGGAATAACAAGGGATTTCTGTGCTTATGTCAATTTATATTTATCTCAAGATTAAAAAAAAGTTAATTACTGAAAGTGACACATGAAGTTGTAACACAAAGGTTAATAATAAAGCTTTCTATACATAAAACTTCCTCCTTATGTAGTTAAAATAGTATAAGAGTTTAAAAGCTCATGCTGGACTGAAAAAATATCTACAGCAAATATGTGTAAAACAAGTTCATGGGCTTATATATAAAAAGTTCTATGGTTAATACAGAAGTCATTGAAATTCAAATAAACAGTTCACAGAAGAAAAAGATGCCACCAATTGTAAAACCTGTGAAAATGTCAACCTCACCAGTCAGCAATAAAAGATTGTTTTCCTTCCAGCTTGTAAATCTGTATTATATAATTTTATTCCCTAGTATTACTCCTCTCCCTATCATTTTCTTGTAGGGGAACACAACCTTGTAGGTTGTATTGAGATCACATAGAATTTTAGCTGTGGTACTAACTTTTAAAGACACGTGCCTTTTCAGCTTTAAGTATCATTTAACCATGTTATTATATTCCCTGCTACATTACCAATGATTGATTGTTTTACATAGATAGTTACCCTTTCCATTTTTCTATTACTCTCTTACCCCCTCCTTCCCTACTCTTCTCCCTCCATCCTTTCTTTTTCTCTAATCAATGCGTCTATTTCCTCTATAGTATCTTCAGCACCTAAGATTCTTTCTTCTATCTCTTGTATTCTGTTGGTAACACTTGTCTCTTTATTTCCTGTTCATTTACCCAGATTTTCCATATCCAGCCATCCCTCGGTTTGTGTTTTCTTTTTTACCTCCATTTCGGTCTTCAAGTCTTGAACTGTTTCCTTTACCTGTTTGATTGCTTTTTCTTGGTTTTCTTGGGTATCTTTGAGGGATTTATTAATTTCCTCTAACTTTTTGTTTGTCTTCTCTTCCATTTCTTTAAGGGAGTTTTTCATTTCCTGTTTTAGGGTCTCCATCATTTTCATAATGTTACGTTTAAAGTCAATTTCTTCTACTTCTTCTGGAATAGGATGTTCAAGTCCTCCTGTTGCGTGTTCGCTGGATGCTGGTGTTATCATGCTGCTTTTCAGGATGTTGGAGGAATTCTTGCATTGGCGCCTGCCCATCTCTTCCTTCAAATGCAACCAGGAGAGTCTTGGCGTCTTGGTCCAGTCTTTGCTGTGGCTGACTGTGTACTTGGGGGTTTTTCTTGATCTGCCCTCTCTTAGGTCCCCTCAGCACTGGAGCTAGCTCTCAGATCCACCTCCGCCCTGAAGCAGGCTGTGCTGGGGGATCTAAGGACCCTGCAGATGAAAAGGAGTGCTTGTGGGCAATATGGGATGGGGTAAAGAAAGCCAGTAGCCAGGGAGATGCCCCGCTGAATTTCCAGAAAAGTTTAGGGAATTGGAGGGGGCCTGGACTCTGTTTCCTGGGACCAGCAGGCCCGGCAGCCACTCACTCCCCACTCGGGATAGATCTCAGTACAGGAGCAGGGCCTCTTGCTGGGCTCCAAAGACCATGTTGTTGTTTCCCAGCTCGCCAAAGTTCTCAATTCATCATCTCCAGCAAAGCCAAGTCTGACCGCAAGTCCATCCGTCATTTTTCTGAGATAGGTTGTCACCACATAGCCCAGACTGGCCTTGAACTCCTAGCCCTCTTGCCTCTGCCTCCTGAGTGCTGGGATCTTAGGCACACACAGCTGTATATGACTCAGCTACTTCCCCCCTCTCTATTAGGAATTGAACTTACAGCCTTTGAACATAACTTGCTTGTTAGGCAAGAGCTTCACCACTGAGCTCCATCTGCAAACCTTAAAAGTTGTAATGGGTCTTCTTGCTGAGTTGCCCAGTCTGGCCTTGAAGTTGCCTTGTGTCTTGTGTCATAGATAGCTATGATCTCAGACTTGAGCAGCAAGCCTGCCTTATATCTACTTTCTTATATCCAGCTTCCCAGTTACTGAATTTAACTTTTGATGAATTTTTATATTACCCAAGACAATGTCCTGCCTTATTTTTGATGTTTACATGTTAAAGGATTGGTCCCTAAACTGACATTATTGGGATGTGGACCTTTTAGAAGTGTGGGCCTCAGGGAAAGTCCTTAGTTCATTGTATGGATGCCCTCAAGGGGGACTGTGGTACCCCAGTCACTTCTTTTCTGGCTGGAAGCGGTTTGCCTCTTGATTCTGTTGTAATGTGCTGCCCTTGCCAGAGGCCTAAAGCAATGGGCTTCCCAATCTTGGGTTGGAATCTCCAGAACCTTCGTCCACAATAAACCTTTCTCTTTATGAACTAATTATCTGAGGTATTTTGTTGCAGTGGTGTAGACCTGACATATGAACCACACCTTCTCTCTCTGTAAAGCGCTATGGGTTAGAATGCTTAGATAGCTCTATGGAATTTTATCTTGCTGCTAGAAGATTCATGGCCTGCCATTGCCCTTAGAAGTTGGAATCCTTGTTCATTCTGTGCTTTCACTTGACTGAAACCAAGAAATCGTGTTCTGGTCTGATCCCTTCTCAGTAGGTAGTCTGTTTTTAGTTAGCTGTTTGTTTTCTGTCTGGGAATTCATTTTCATTTTATATTTGAAAATCTAAATTTGGTCACAGTCATTGGTTTTGTCTGTGTATACATGAATGTGTTTTTATACTACTTTTGCCCAGCAGTTAGTGAGTCTTCCATCAGTGAACAGATGTTTTCTCTCATCGTTTTTTATTAATGTTTTGATCTATTTTACTTTGCTTTCATAGTCTAGTAATTCAAAATGGGGTACAACGATGAACCTCTACAATTTCTCTGAATTGCCATTTCTTTGTCATTTGTATTTGTTATAGAATTCTTTAGTGTGAACTTTTAATACATGGATTTGTTCTCAGCCATGTCCATCTTAATCTTGTGACCTTTATTCCTGGGTATAAATTTTTCATCTTGTGATCATGCCTTTCTGTTTACAGGAATTCTATTTCTGTTTGCTCTGTATCCTCTTGAATGTCACTAGGGATAAGTTGATGTGTTAAATCCATTCCCTGTGTTGACTATTTTATTGGTGGCTGCTGTATAATTTGCTTAGTTTGGATTTCATGTTTTGAACTGCTGTGTTTTTCATAGAAGCAGTGAATCTTTGTTGTTTGCTTATGTATTTTTAATGAAGTTCTAAAGTGTTAAGACATTTGACATGAACTACATCAGCATTTGGATGGGTCATTAATGATAGTTTGGGGTTTAACATTAGTTTTCCTTAAGTAGAAGTACTTGTTTTTCAGTTTTCCATTATCTGGGATATCTTCTTTCTACTCTTTCTCCGTCACTCTAGTGTGTTCATTTGTGTGTATTCATGTGTCTGTGGATGTGCATCACTTTGCGTATGGAGGTGAGAGGACAGCCGGTTGAAGTTGGTTCTGTCTTTCCACTATGTTGGTCTTGGGGATGGAGCCCAGGTTGTTGGACCTGGTGGTAAAGTAAGTGCCTTTACCCACTGAGCCATCTTACTAGCCCCTGACTATTATTTTGATAGTTGTTTTCTGGTTTTTTTTGTAGATTCTTTGTACTTTTCCTCCCTGTCAGTCTTCCTTTGTGATTAGATTTTTGTTGTCTTGTTTGTATCTTGAGGTGGCTTGCTTAAAACCTGGAATGGATGACCTGGAGTCTGGAGAGGCTAACGAAGTCTTGGGATGGGCCTGGTACCTTGAGTCTATAAGGTCTGGTGCTGAGGCAGCCTAAGGGCCTATTTTGCATGAGAAAACCTTATGGGCCTAACTTTAGGTCCAGGGACTATGGGATCCAGAGGTGATCTGGAAGCTTGATCTATGTATTGGTCTAGTACTCACATGTACTGGAATGAGCATGGGACCTGAATGCACTAGACTGTGGAGATTCGCTTCAGGACTACACCATCAGTAGATACGCCTAGAGCCATGTCTGCATTTAACATCTTGATTTCTGACTTCAGAGGTATCTTGGTTCTGGATAGACCTAGAAGCGGTGGCAGGGCTAGTCTGGAACCCAAAGCTTGGTTGTTGCTGGGTGGACCTGGACCCTGTTTCTGTGGGAGTCAGTGTAGAGATTGCGGTGGGTAAGCCTGATAACTAGGGTCACGGGACTGCCCTGGACTTTGTGCCAGAGTAGGACTGGTCCCTGTGGCCATGGAGGCCAGCATGACCTGAATCCTGAGGCTGCTGGACTGGGCCTAGAGTTCAGTCTAATTGTCTTCCCTCCTACACCAAAGTAGGTAGTCATTAAAATGCAAAGGTAAGCTTGCTCTTGGTGAAGAGTGAGGTACACAAATGGACTGCTCCTGAGAGTCAGTGGTTGAGATGGAAGTAGCAAACTCCTGCCCTGAGGTTGTGAAAGCCGGGGGGTAGCTGTTGCAGTTCATTTTCTATTGCTATGACTGAATATCAGATGAGGTAACTTAAAAAGGATCGGAGGCTTACTTAGTCGTTGTTCTAGGAGTCATGGTGTCGACATCCACTTGGCATCTGGTTAAATCCTTCTTGCTGCGCCATTGTGTGTCAGAGGGCATCACAAGGTGAGACAGAGCAAGCTTGATGTCTTCAGTTTTTCTTCTTACAGGTCCATGAATGCCATCGCGTGGAACTTCCCTTCAGACCTGATTTAATCCCCTCCTAAAGATCTCCCCTCAAAATACCATTGCATGGGCAAGATTCTGGTACTCATGTCAGTGCTAGTGGGGGATTGGTAAGAGGCAGTGTTTACATCTCTGGGATAACTGAAACATTCTATGGCTCTTCTGGAAAGTAATTTGGCAGAAATAGTCTTCTATATGACTTTGGCCGACTCTCCATATTTCTAGATGTCTACCTTGAAGAATTGGGGTAGGAGGTCTGTGTTTATATTCAGAGCTCTTCACTGTCACACAGCTTACAATGGGGGACAAGTTGGAAGGAATTTGTTTGAATGTCTTATAAGAATAGTAAATCATGTCAGTTGTATGACATGGAAAAATTCCCATGACACACTTTAAATGAAAAAGTACAGAACAACAGTACACATCCAACATGATCTTTATTAAAAAAGCAGAAAAATACTATCTATATTTGACTTTAAAAGCCAGTGATAAATGGTAAGATTCTAGGTGAATTGTGTTTTCTTTTTAAACTTGTCTGTAACTAAAATTAGTAGGAAAAATATAGCTAAATAAAGGCTATGCTACTTTCCTCAAAAATGCTGCAAGTCTGAATAACTTTTATAATCAGAAAGGTCAAAATGTCTCTAGATACCACATATCATACCAAAAGATTGTCATTTTTCATAATTGATGGGCAAAAAGTGGTGTCTCTCAGAGCTGAATATAGGGTTATCGTCACCATGCAAATGGATTTTGAATTCTCCAGCTTTCTACATTGTGTAGTGAACACTGCCATTGCCAGAACTAGCGTATGAACTCCAGCGTGGCCCATCTGCTGCTCAGGCTGGGCTTGGCTGACACAGATTTATTTTGTTTCATTCCTTATTTGGCAGCATAGCCTCTTTCTCATTATCATAGCTGAGGTTCAGTGCCAGTGCTACTCACTTCATTACCTGTTTGTTGTTTTTTCCTTTTGTTCCATTTTGTGAAATGAAGATGCCAACAATGGGAATTCTGTCTCTGAAAATGCAGCTCTTGTCCTGTGGGGTCTTGGTCATGTCTTGCTAACTTGCTCCTGCTTCTGGCACAGAGTATTTTGGTTATTTTGATAAGTAGAAAGCACCATGGTTTATTTTCCAAAGGATTTAGCATTCCTTTTCCCAGCCCCACCCCCACCAGAAGATTTGGAAACAGTTCCAAATAGAAAGTGTAAACACTAGCCTTAAGCTAAGCCCTCTCCATCTGGTATTGGTGCATTTTTTTTTTATGCTGAAGGCTCATGCTGTTTGCTTAATCTTCATCAGTGTTGCAGAAACATGAGGGGTGAGACTTACCTCTACCCCCAAGCACCTTACTTAAGAAGGATTTTCCTCTGCCTTGGTTTGTATTTCAAAGAGCATAGGGATAGTCAGCCAGACTGCTAGGAATTTGTTCAAGTGAAACTTTAGGACTATTAGAACCATCTTAGAGATTTATTGGATGGATTTGTTAGGATAGGATAGCTGCTGCCAGAGAATCCTCTCTGATCCTGACACTATTTATTTTCAAAGATGCTCTTTGTAAGACTTTGTTCTACTTTCCCCTCTAGGTTACCCTGAAGAGACTTATCCAGTGTATGACCTTTCCGATAGTATCAAGCGTAGGCAAGAAACAATCCTGGTGGATTACCCTGATCCAAAAGAGCCCTCTGCTGAAGAAATAGCTGAACGAATAGGGGTGATGGAAGAGGAAGGGTCAGAGCATTTGAGCTGGGATCATTTGCCCACTGACCCTGGAGCCCAGGAAGATAATTCTGTTACCCTGTGTGATCCTAAACCAGAATCATGCTCCTGCTGTTTTCATGAAGAAGAGGATCCTGCTGTCTTGGCAGAGAATGCTGGTTTCAGTGCAGATGGCTACAGTGAGCAAGAGGAAGCCACCAAGGAAGACTGGTCCCAAGACTTTACAACTGAGGGGTTGGGAATCAGCACTGATAACACACACATGGGTGGCATCTTGAGGAAGCGCAACCCCCAGAGTTTAGAGTGAAAGCAGCCTGTTTGATGATGTATCCATTGCTCTACTCCCAAGGTATCTTTTCTTAATTTCATCCATGGCCCGGTGCCATCTGTATTCAATCCCTCTGGATTCAATAGCATAGTTCTGGGTCACTACCATGGATATTATTTATCCTTCCTGGTGCTTGCTCACCTGTCACCTTGTAAAGTAGACATTAGTGTGAACACAGGACAGCATCATCTTTCTCTTCCTGCCTTTCTGCATCAGAGACACTAACTCATTAGGTAATTATACTTGTTTGATTGTGCCTGGAGGTGGTACCACCTGTGCAAAGATCTGACCCCTCCACACAGGAGTAACAGGTTTACCTATGAATGAGCATTGATTAGCAGATGTTGGGAACTTAAGATTTTGAAAATGAAGATTTTAGACTCCCAAATGCCTTATTCTTTTGAAATTGTTAGTAGTCCCCCAAGAAGAGCATGCTCAGTTGTAAGGATGAGGGGCCCAGAGCACACAGCAAGACAGCTGACTGAGCTGTAGCCTCCCCTCAGAACCTTCTAGGTTAAGATATCCTGGCTCCTCCGGAGTACACAGGCCTATTTGGAGACCATTTTGCTTGTATATCGCCTTGATCTTTAGCTTCCCGTGTCCTTACTCTGTTGAACAGAATTGCCAATCCAGAAGCACCTTTATATGTCCGGTCATCTGCGGCTAGGGGACATTTTGTACTCATGCCGAGTAAAAAAAGGCTGAGTTTGTATCTTAAAGAGTTCTAGTTTACTATGGGAGTTTGACAGATACTCGAGGAAGGCTTGAGATTGTGGATTCTTTGGGCACAGAAAACTGGGTCCTGATGCTTCCCTGAGACTCTGCCTGTAGAGTTCTGGATTGGCTCCTTAGGCAATCCGAGCCTAGTGTGGGCATCTGTAAAGTGAGGGTTGTAAAATACAGGTCTCTCGGGTCATAAGCTGTAAATGAGCTAGTCGGTGTGCACAGGGCAGCCTGCGGTGTGCACAGGGCAGCCTGCGGTGTGCACAGGGCAGCCTGCGGTGTGCACAGGGCAGCCTGCGGTGTGCACAGGGCAGCCTGACAAGCTCAGGCATGACTGCATATCACGTGACAGCTGTTTTATTACAGTGTGGACCCAAAACTACAGGACCATGCAAGAACAGGAATGCTTTTCCCAAAGTAGCAATAAATTTCAAAAGAGACTTTGTGTCACACTAAGAACATGGGCAAGGAAGAGAAAGGACATTTTGGCAGAAAAAGTGGGTTAGCAAGAACAGCGGGGTGTGTAAATGAATATTCGGCTGAAAAATGTTACAGAGTCAACTCTGTTTTTACTGGGGTGAGCTATGGAAACAGTTCCTGCCAAAAGGACCAACTAAGGTTCTTGCCACTGTAGATATTAGTTTGCATATAGGAATATATTTGTCTGTATACACCAGAAACTTGAATGTACCTTTCAGTAATTTAGAATGTAGGTTTGTTTCTTTCTTAATTTTCCAGAATTGTATCCTTTGGATATGATGATTTTACATGTATATCCAACCCAGGGGGACCAGCATCAAGGGATTGATTTTCATTGTGATACTCATGTCTCAGTATTAAAGGCTGCAGACTTCATCAAGGCCTTGCTATTAGGTTTGCAGTGACCCCTGGGGCACTGTAGCAGCAGCTGGCCTAAGAAGCCACTGCATCACCTAGGACCATGCTTGGTAAATAAAGTAGGTGATCAGCCAGAAGATCCCTTCACAGTGTCATAGTAGGAAACAGGACAATGCCTCATATAGTGCTCAGGGACTAGGTCCAGAGGTGTGCTAAGAGTAGAGATGGATGTAACCGCTAATGTTCTTTGTACCTTAGACTTAGGTGATAAAATCATTTATGATCTACACTCAGACACTTTGAAAAAGGAGCATATACACATGGCATAATATTTTTTTATCTCTGTGACAAAATACTCAGTGAAGGCAACTTAATGCAGGAAGGGCGTAGTTTGTGGACAGTCCTTCCTGGCAGAGGGGCCGTGAAGACTGGTGCAGTCAGGGAGCAGAAAGAGATGAACACCAGCACTCGGTTTATTTCCCCTTTTATTCAGTCTGGGACCCCAGCCAATGGGATGCTGCTGCCCACCATGAAGATGGGTCTCCTCCCGACTAGACCATCTTGTAAACTGTCCTAGACAGGTGTGTTTCTGTGGTATTCTAAATCCCTTCAAATTTGGAATTGAGATTAACCATCGTGGCAACAGGTTTAAGGCAAGATCTTCCTGGACATGTGTTCTACAACTTTAGGATTTTTCATCAACCTGATGAGTAAACAAGACCCTTTCCCCTTTTAGAACATCCTGTATTTGGTCTTCCTCACAAAGGCAGAAGCTAAAGGGCTAAAGGTGCCAGACCATGGTTCAGGCAGAGACTGCTTTTAATTCACGTCAAAAACACCCGAGTAAATAAGTGAACCCTAATTATCGTTCTGCTCTTCCCTTTCCCTTTATTTAGAGTTTGTATCCACAAAGAATATTTGTGTGCTACCTGTTGAGCAGTGATCAGGAAGACCATGACCCAACTATTCTGCAGCCTTAACCGTCAGCATGTCTAAAACGTACCTTCTAGTAGCAAGACAACAGGCCATTCCTTCACTTGATAGGGCACCAGTTCCCTGTGGATGAACTGGGCAGCATGTCCGCCTCCTAGGACTGTTTGTGGAGTGTCTGTTCCACAGTGAGATGTGCGGTGGGTGCTTAGCACCATCACTGCCTTGAATCTCTTGCTGCTGTGCTGCCCCTCTGAGGCCACTCTGGATGCCAGGAATGGTGCAGGTCACTCTGGGGGGGAGGGGAGGCTTTAGGATGACTTCCTTCAAGAGTAGATATTAGCTTTGATGCCTGACGCTTGTTTTCCTGTTTAAATGGTTCCAGCTCTGACCATGGCCTAGACTGACATGGCTGGGCCTTTCTCACCCTTGACTCCTATATCCCAGTTCTGTCCACAAGGACCATGACCACCAGGTACACTTAGGAACTGTTGGCCAGTTCCTTTAGGGTGACCGAGATGACCTTGAAGTATCTTCTAGCCTCATTTTTTGCACACTAAGGATGTGATACCACAGGAGAAGACAGTGTTGATCTGGATGTCGCTGGTTTTAAACACACACTGCATCTTTTTGTTGCTATCACCCACCTGACCCTTTGAAGCTCCTAGGAATGAAAGGAATGGAGAACATTTTTAGGAGAGACACATTTTCTCCTTCTGTGAAAAACAAGGACACAGCAATCAAACAGTTCAAGTTTAATGTGTTGATACATGTCTGTACTTAGACAAACACTACATTCTACAACATACATAATGCCATTATGGGAAAATACCAAGTTTGTCATTGCACATACAATAAATAAATACATTTGCTTCCGAATACCAAAAAGTTTATTCAAAAAGTCACTTAATAAAAGCACAGTTTTGCAAGTTTGTCTAAAACTCCAGATAATTTTAAACAAAAATAAAATGTCTGACCACTCCAAAATAGGAAAAGACAATCATGTGCAAATCGACAAATCGACATACATGTTCTAGGCGTTGTGAAAACTGGCTAAGTGTGCTCCCAGCAAGAGAAATGCCTGTCCTCACCAAGCTGGAGCTGGGCTCCCCGTCTATGCTACTCTGAGGTGCTCTATAGAAGACCCTAAATTTCAGCCTCGTCTCCAGCTCTACCTGGACCTTAGTGGGGGAGGAGGGGCAGGAGAACAGAGAAGAGGGGTGCAGTATCTTTCTTAGGGAAGAAAGAAGGCACAGTGATGAGCTAGGAAAGGTCGTGATGAGAGCAAGGGGTAACCTTCACTAACCAAGCTTTGACAGGCCTGCATCTTTAGCTTGCAGTTAAGGAGACAGACACAGGAATATGTAGTTTGTTCAAATGCGCTAGCTGCTATAAATGCAGTTGTATACTCCTGGACCAAGTTACCTCTGTGCTGAAAACCCAAATGCATCCCAGTACTTAAGATCTTGAAATGACAAAAAATTGCAGGCTGGACGTGAATAAGGGCAAGTGGCCATAAACTAAAGTAAGGATCCATCCCATAACCTGTTCTGGAGACTAGAGCGGGTCTACTAGCCAGAGCCTAGGGCAGTGTAAGGTCCCAACTCTGCAGGGCAGTTGGGCCCCAGTCACAGTGCTAGGCACCACAGAAAGCATGCTTTGATGGCACCTGGCATCCTGAAGTCCCATGAGGGTATCACAGCTGGGGCAAGGAGTACAGAGAAGGGAAGGCCAGGGCTGTTACTGAGGGGAAGGCAGGCTGTCCACCAAGGAGATGGGTGTTGTGCTTGCAGAGCAGAGCTGTGGACGTAGCTCCTCCCTGCAGACCCCATCAGAGCAGTCATCCCTATGCTCAAACTTAGAAACTGCTTCTAGATAAAGTTCGGAGGCAAATACCTTGCCATATCCAAAAAGAAGGAAAAAAATAAACCACTTCTACAATGTTGTTGCTCATCAGTGAAGAAGGGAGGTTTACCAGTTCTCTTCCAGCCTGTCATCACACATCTTGGCTCCCAACACCTGTCTTCCCATAGGCATGAACCTGACCTGCTTCCTCTTAGTGTCAAGGTTGTTAAGGCACCATCACTACACCATCTCAGCTCCTCCTCCAGTGAGACCGACACTACATTTCCTCGATAGTCTCCTGCTTGGGACCATGGAAGAAAGTATGGAAAGAAGGAACATAATCCACAGTGGTCACAACTGCCTCCTTATTTTCCTACTCAAGCATGATCTTAAACTTCTGTTGGTTGATTGCAGATTGCCCTTTCCTCTAGACACATGTGCACACACGCACACACATACACACACACACATACAGACACAGAGCACCTTGGAGCCAGGACAGAAAAAGCGAGACTCGGACTTGGGGAAGCTAACATCACCACTCTGTAGAGGAAGTGTTTTGGAGCAGAGGGTGGAGAGTTTTAGGGTAGAGAGCCAGTAGCATACAGAGGAGCTGCCTAAGGTTCTAGCTGCCCCGCACTCTTACGGACTGTTCACTCATCCCACATCAATCAGCTGCCTAGCCAAGGACCAGCTAGGAGGAGAGGGTGTGAAAGGTAAGAAAACGTTACTATGGGAGAGGCTGAACCCAGGTGACCCCAGGGCCCCGGTAGTTGAGGTCCATGGGCCTGTGCTCAAGAAAAGGCAATGTCACCAGGAGCCGAGTCCCAAGGCTGGTCTGAAGCAGGTGACTCAACTGCTCTTGTCACTCAGTGCCCAACAACGGGTCTTGTGCTGAGGCTACCTTTCTCCATAGTGGGCCTATTTCCTGGTGCAACCAAATTTATATTCAGGTAGCCAACACCCCCTTTTGTGTGCTAAAGCAGAGAGCGGAGGCAAAGAGTTCTCCATTGTGCTTCCAGTTCCACCGCTACCACCAGGGTCTCTTCCACCCACCAGACTCCAGAGTCAGCCTGTTCAACCTTAAAACTGTCATCCCAGAGAAAGAGCTTGATTAGATTGATGGTCTGGTTCCCACCGCTCTAACGTCAGATTTCTCCTTATCAAGGGAGGGAGGGAGGGAGGGAGGGAGGGCAATCACAGCAATGTAAGGAGATAGATGGCACTGTAATCTTTCATCGGGAGATAGGCCAGCCCCAGCACGGAAGTCCGGGTGCTCTCTAGAAACTAGACTGTAAACAAAGGCTAACTTACTGGAAGGTCCTCTCACGGAGATGTATGGCTCAGCTGTGTCAGGTCCTGCTGTAGCAGTTGTACCTTGCTTAGAAGGAAATAGGAAAATCCAGGGTTTTTTTTTTCATAAATAATATTTCCATTGACTTCAATCCAGCTTCCTTACCTGTTTTACATATTCAAAGCATGACTTTACTTTTTAAGTTTCTACTTAGCCATTCTGAGCATATCTGTTTTAAAGCAATGTCTAAACGTTCGTTGCTTCCCACTGGCTTCTTACCCATCTAGGTAAGGAGCTTGCAAATGACAGGCAAGGCTTGGCGTTCCCAAGCCCACCAGATGAATGGTGCCATCCGAGGAAAAGTGGCAGTGGAGGGAATGTCCAGACCCAGCCCCTGAACCGAGGCTGCCAGCCACAAAGTGTGCAATGGCCCTGCTGAGGTCTGTGCACAGCCTGAAGTCCTCAGAGAGGGCCAGGCACAGATCAGATCCAAACAGACAGCTTTCTACAGGGAACTGCCTGATGCCCTACTGAAAGGTTTTCAATCTTAGATATGGACTCCGAGGTCCTAAGTCTCTGGAAATGGGAAAGGAAAGGGTATGCAGAATGGACCCCAGAAGGCCAGAGTCTAATTTCTGGGTAACAGTAGGAACAAAGGAATTTGAGGTTCTGAACTACGCCATTAACCAGTTAGGTAACCAAGAGAGTCCCATATTCTCAGGGATCAGCATTGCTTTTGGTGAGCCATACTATCTCTTACTGAGCTCCAGTGGCCCTAAAGTACCACGTTCCATTCCCCCTAAGAATGCCCTCAGTGATCTGGGCATGCTGGCAACAATGGGAGTTGTGTCTTCCGGAGAGGACGTTCTTCTGAAGCATGGTAACCTCCCTACACGTGTGTCCTAGGAGTTGTGCTGGGGCTGTTCAACATCGGAGAGCCCTAATGTAGGGGAGCCTACTGGAGGACTCCTGTAACCCCCATCCACTCAGATATTTGGCCTTGAGAGCTGGGTTCTTGCTTCTGGAAGCAACCAATGAGCTACCACTGTAAGCCACCGGCTAATTCGCACAGCCAGGCCCCTGAAAGCCTAGCAGGGTCCTGCCACTCACCTAGCCCCACTCCCAACTTCCCGTAGGCTTGATAACCCCTTCTGAGGTGGGAGCACTTTCTGCTGACCACCAGGCCCTTTGCTACGTAAAACTTACGTGCCCTATACATACACATGCACTCACTGTACCCCTACCTCCTGGGATACCCGCTGTCCTCTGACTTGTAGGCTGAGTGGATGGCTGGGCCACAGCAGCCCTGCTGTGCTTCCCCTTCCACTGTACCGCCAGCTGAAGAGGCTGCCCTGTGTGGTAAACACAACTGTGGTGGGGACTGACCCAAGGTTGGTTATGTGTGTGACCTTGGGGCGCAGAAATACTCTTTTCCCTTCATACCCATTTGCTATCCCCCTGCTTCAGCAGCAGAGGCAGAGCGCCAGTTTCTGGTTGGTAAGGCCAGAAAGCCCGCTGAGGGCCTATTAACAGAGGGGAGGCAGAGCTGTCTCGGCGGGCAGGCAAGCTCCACTCCAGACCGGGCCACCCTAAAGGCAGAGGAGGCCTCTACTCGCAGGCCAGCTTGCTGTCAAAGCTGGACAATGCAATGGCAAAGGCCTGCAGTGCACACAGTGGGTAGTTGTAATCCATGGTGAATACATCTTCTGCTACCCGGCCAAACTGCATGACGATGTAGTCCGCTGTGGCCATGCACAAGCACGGATGGTGAAGACAGGAAGAACAGATAAGACACAGGCCACAAGAGGGTAAAGGGGGGTGATGCACACAGACAACAAGGGGTAGGGGGGAAAAGACATCCATTTAAAAGGTGTTTCCAAGCCCCAGAATCTGGGGCTGGGACTCTAATCACTACAGCTGGTAAGTTCTTTCTAATAAAAGCCATATGCCCACATCCTGTTACTCTGGCTGGTGTGGACCGAGGAGTGAGGGCAGCGATACTCACGGTCATTGCCATGGATGATCTGGAAGTTCTTCACAGAAGCCTGTGTGACGCGCCCATGGAAGTTGAGTACATAGGATTGTGTGTCATCATTCCAGACCGGCGTCTTGTTTTGCAGCTCAATGATGGTCTCCGTGTTCTTGTTCTGCCAGCGTGCTAGCAGTGTCTCATGCTCCTGGCGGTAGGGAAGTGGGGACAGCCTTACTTGAGCCAGACCCAAGCCCTGGCATCGCATCCGCCCAAAGAGAGATCTTACCCAGTTCCCTAAACACCCAGGGTTCCCCTACACAAACACCTTGGGGGAATTCTGCCCTTAGAAGCTCATTCAGAGGCTGGGGTCTGGGGAAGTGTGAGAGACTCACATTGCGGGGACGGATACAGACTCTCTCATGCACCATGTTCATGCCCGGGACAATCACACTCATCTTCCGAGGTCCCTTGAAGCCTAGGACATTTGTCTCCTGGGAAAACAAGAGAATTTAGCATTGGCTACCTCAAATTGCTTATCCAATGGGGAAACTGAGTCAAGGAGGTAAAGAGGAATAAAATGTCTGCAACATCTATACTTGATAGTCTAGTAGTTACCTCTAAATTTAGCACAGCCCGAACTACTCCCATTTACAGCCCAGCTTGCTTCAGTCAGTGGCGACTCAGCATTTAGATCCGCTCACGGGAACTAGAGTCTTACTACTTCACTCTCTCACACCCATTCCTAACCTATCCACAGTTTCTAGATAGCACCAGAATCGAAGGTCACCAGACAGCCACTAATGTGACTCCTTGTTCCTGCCCTGGGCCCCCAAGGCTCTCCTCCCCACCGTCTGTTCTCAGCACAGCACCCTGGTTGACAGTCCTAGTAAAGGGTATGTTTTCTTCCCCGCTGAAACTCTTACTCTCTCTCCAGGACCTTACTGATTCGACCCCCGACCTTAGTTTCCTTGCTATCTTAAGTCTCTTCTGCAATCACTCTGCCCTTCTCACACATACACACAGCTGGTTTAATGTCTGATCTTTACTCAAGAGTTACCTTGCCCTCCCTGCTGTCCCTCCTAATGGTCCACACACGCCTTGGCATTTCATATATCCATATCTCTACCTTGATTTTTAGTTCTAAGCATTGATCAAGAACGAACTTATTTCACTTACAGCTGTTTTATGGTTTGTCTCTCAATAAGGATTAAATACCATAAGGGTTTGTTTCTATTTCCAACGTCCTAAGTCTTTCCAACGGTACCTGGGCTATAGATGGGCTCAGGCTGCTTCTCTAAATTTGGCCAGCAGGTGGCACCATGGGATCATCTGAAATGGCTATAGAGGCCTACTAGTCTCTAAGTATCCCTGCCCAGATTCACAGGACACTCATCCTTCACTTTGGTAAATGAAGAAACCAAGTTTGTAACAGAGCATGCACTTATATTTATGTTCCAGTTCTGTCCTGGTTGATATAATGTTAGCAAATGCCCAACCTCTAAGCTTCAGTTTCCAGACCCCAGAGGGAACAGCATCTCTGTTCTGAACTGATTCCGAAAGGGCCCCATCCATGCAGTGCCTGGCACTGCAACTGTAGCACGGAGCTGTGAGTGAAGTCCAGAAAGGAACCCAGGCATCTACTTCCTCCTGCCAAAGAGCATCCTGGGTCAGACTGCAGAGCCAGGGATGGTTCCCCGAGATTCCTAGCCTGCTGTGGTCAGCGCTCTGAAGACAGGTAGGGGCTAGGTCCCCGTCCCGTACAGGCTCACTCTACAGAGGACAGCCCTTTGAGACGTAGCCTTGACTATCCGTCAAGATAAATGGGGTGGTCTCCACCCCAGTCGGGCACCATGGCCTGAGTTTCATGTCTGCCTAGAAACCAAGGACTCACATAGCACACAGCTGCGAGCTCCTGCCGCAACGTTCCACTTTCCAGCGTAGAAGACGATGCCTTCTGAGGGTTGACGCCGTTGTCATAAACAGTGAACTTGGTGCCCATCAGGTTGGACCTGAAGAAAGGCACGATCAACAGGCTCGTATACCTCTCCCCATGCCGTGGCACAGCCTGTTCTCTTACAAGAAGCCTACAGCGCATTATGGGATGGACCAGGGGCAGACCTGGGACACCGTGGAGGTACCCCACAAACACTCAACTCTAAGTCAACTAAACTCAAGGGGCACCTCATTTCAGTGAAGGAAACCCAAGGAGTCAGTGTTCATAGGAAGGGAGAAGGGCACTGATTTTTCTGGAAAGGAAGCAGAGTAGCATCTAGGAGGCCAGGGAGGGTTCTGTACCTCACAGAGAAAGGCTGTCTCTGTCCTTTCCAGGGCTATGTCCAACTTTGGTTACTCACGTCTTCACTTACTCTTCCTCAATGGGACCTCACCTGAGGCCTCCCCACCTCACTTCTTAAGGGCTTCTTTGCAGTCCTGTCTCTTGGCTCTGACCAGAGGGCCAAAGCAACTTTTCCACGGTGCCTACATCATCAGCAGCACCCTGGTTTGACCTGTCACTCATGCTGGGCCTGTGCTCGATACCTTGGGGACAGCTTAGTACTGTCTGACCCAAGGCTGGGCATAGACTGGCCTGTGGCTGGGCTTGAAGGGCAATATATTCAGAGATTTCAGAAGACTTTCTGGCCCCTCCCTCCCTTCCTGGAAGTGCACTGGTACCGCAATTTCCCAATATAGCTGTCGCCTCCCCGAGACAAGTCTGTCGGGTCCACAGAGATGAGGTAATTGGAAGTTTTGCTCTTCTTTCTCTTCCTTCCCGCCAGGAGGAATACCTTAAAGAGTAAAGCAATTCACATTCCATATCTAGCCTCTAGCCCATAAATATGGTGGTCACTCACACATCTGGGCTCACACACAGATAGTCACCTTGCTTCATCTCCCCCAACACAGCTATGTGTGCACACACGTACAAGGACTGACAAACCCCTGAGTCCACATGAAATACTATTTCCCTGGAGAACTGAGAGGCCAGAGTCAGAACTGAGTTTCCCTCATATTTTAGCCTCCTGGCCTTCAAACTGAAAATATATGCCCAGAGGAACTCACCTTCTTGCCGTCCTCACGGTCTAAATGCAGAAAGTAGGTGGGGTACATGCCCCGGTCCATCCCCTTCTTGTCCCGAGTGATACGGCATTTGACAGTGATCCCCTGTGGGGCTGGCCTCAGAGCAAACTCCTCTAGATCCTGGACCTCAATCTCCACTGGTGGCTCTGGGGCTGCTGGGCTGGGGGCTGAGGCTGCCTCCTACAGAGAGGGAGAGTCAAAAATGAAATCAAAAAGCTCTCCACTTCAGACTGGTGGTCTCGGAGAAGAGTGTGCCTCCTGATTCAGTGAGGGGAAGGAGAGGGAGGTCAGGATCTCGAAATGTAGATGTGGCCGCCGTGACCCAGAGTGAGGAGCTATCTTCTAGCCTCTTCCTTTCCTCAGCCGTTGCTGGAGGTGGAGGCAAGGATGAGGGCTGGCTCTCAGGAGGGCATCCTGTCCAAGTCCAACTCTCCCTGCATCCTAGCCCTTTGACCTTGCTGGAGAGACAGGGAGCGCAGTGGAGAAGCAGCAGAGCCCAGCTTTAGAGCCTTCATATAGACGCCTCACCCCAGGGAAGCCAGCACCTCATAGTGTTCACACACACACACACGACCACCTCATGTTCTAGTCTATCAACTTGACGTAGCATAGTCAAGGGGTGGAGAGGCTTGTGCCTGCCCAGACCACACTCATCTGTGGCCATGTCTAGGATGTGAGAGGGCCCGGCCCCCTATGGGTGGCACCATCCTTGGGCAGGTGGGCTCGGGCTGTATAAAGCTAACTGAGCAGGAACCTGAAGTGTGCGCGCCAGCAAGCAGTGCTCCTCCAAAGGCTTGAGTACCTTCGAGGACAGACGTGACAGCATACGCCAAATAAACCCTTTCCTCACCAAGATGCTTCCGGTCAGTGTTTCCTACCACAACAGGGAACAAACTAGACCGCCACCCGCAGGCAGACCTCTTCACTCACCCTGACGGACTTTCTGCTGGTGGCAGAGCTAGGGCGGGTGTTGCTGTTTAGCTGGGAGGAGCTAGAGCTGTTTTCATCCTCCTCCTCTTCCTCATCGAAGCTCATGCTGCTGGAGATGCCTACGGTGAGCAGAGACCATGGACGGATGAGCAAGCGGACAGGTTTTCTAGTGAGAATTTAGGTGGTCACGTGTCGATGTGTGTTCAGACGCATGACTCACCTACACCCAGGCGCTCATACAGCCATCTGCACACACCCTCACATTGCTGTATGTCTGCCCACTCATCCAGACACATACAGGGACACGCACATGAACTGGGGCTTGTCACAATTCTCCCTGGGGTGCATTCCCACCACCCGATTGTAGCTCAGTCCCTACATCACACCCCTGTTTGCTCTCAGGTACACCGTCCCTATGGCTTGTGTAGCAAGGCCTGAGCCGAGCTGACCCTGCACAGGGAACCGCCTCTTCTAAGGGCCACGGGTGGCATAGGCCACAGCCCCCGACATGGACTCTGGCTTAGGTCCTCGCTCGGTCTGTGGGTGGCACTGACTCTGCTTTCCCCAGCTTGCCCTGAGCCGGTCTCAGTTCTCCTTCCTGAACCAGAATGCTACTCTGGGTGGCCTTAAAAGTTCTCTCCTCGTGAAGTAATCTTTCAGTAGGTTCCTCACAGTGGGAGGCTGTACCCAGAACTCCCTGGAGGTAGGGCTCATGTTAGAGAAATTGGGTAGTGAGTTTCCAAGGAGGACCTGCCCGGACTCTCAGCAGCTCAGCAGACAAACAGACAATTTCTTGTCCAAACAAAAGGGGAAAAATTCTGCACACGAACTGGGGCTTCATGGGAGCTACAGATAGGGTTAGGCTGCTGGCTGGCTACCCCAGTTCATACTTCTTTTTCTTAACTTGGCCTTATCGGGAGCCCTGGCCTGAAACTTCTCATCTGACTCCAATAATGCCCCTCTGTGACATCCAGGGACGGACTGGACCAAACATAAGGATATTTATTTTCTTGGAGTAGAGTGTAGCTAAGAACCTGGGACTGAGCTTTGGTCCCAGCTGGGCCCCCGTGGGGCTCACCCTTCCTCTGCATCGTGGCACGGAGGTCCTGCCCGGTGGGCCGTGAGCCCCCACCGGCTGCTGTCTCCCCTGCATCCTTGGCGTGGTCTGACTGTCCCACAGTCAGGATCTGCACTGGGCCTTGGGCCTCAGACTTGTCTTCTGCCAGAGTTGTCGGCCCGCTGGTGCCTGCAGGCCAGATACTCCTGAGTTCCATCCAGAGGGAGCGGAAAGCCTGGACTCCCAGGCGTCCAGGAGGGAGGGGGACAGATGACAGGACCCTCTGCAAAACCTTATTTGCAAAATTGGCTTAACAAAAACCAAACTAGCAACTACTGCCAGCCTGTTAATACTTGGGAAATTGGAAAGGGGCATGGGCTTCGTTTCTTCTCTCCTTTCCCCCAAGATACCTGCCAAGGGTTGGTTCGAAATACTCCACATCCTTAAGACAGACAATAACCATCTACAAAACCAACTGCACAGTGGAAAGAACAAGACAGGAAACAAAGATCAATCCAAAGCACAGCTGCGGGCAGTAGGGCTTCCCGGACACAGACGTCTACAAGCTACACATGCTGGTGTCCTCTCTTCGCACACTCCACGCGTACAATACACTCGCGTATGTCACCAAAAATAGGGCCCTCCTGAAACACCATGGCTGGCCTAGTCGCTTTCCCAAGCACAGGGCCTCCCGTCCCACGTGCCCTGTCCTCTGCTTGCAGAACCCGCCTTCTTTACATTCCCTGCCCGAGGAGCTGCAGCTTGAGTGACAGAAAAGGACCTGGCCCACTGGGAGCAGCTTCTCTGCCTGGCTGAGCTTTGCTCTGAAAACCCAAGGATCCTGACACGCCACTGTGCAACTATGACGCCGTGGCTGGATATCAACGGCCTTGAACAAGGACCGAAGAAGCAGTAGCCAGGAAACAGGACTGGGGAAGTGGCCACCGTCCTGTCATTGATCTCTAGGAATCTGTTAGACTGAGGGGCAGAGGGAACGCACTGGTATGTGGGTCAGAGAGTTCTAAGGATAGGGCAGGAGGTTGGGAGAAATCCACATGGGCAGGCAGAGCTGGCAACTGCTGTGGGAGCAGAGCACTCCGCGGAAGGGAGCATCCTGGCTTGGGATTGGATGAGGGCGCTCAGGCTGAGGTAAGCTGGGAGGAAAGGGGTGGTCCTGAGCCGCAGCTAAGCAGCTAAGCGGTACTTCACTTCCTGGGCAGTCTGACAAAGCCCTCCACACCGCAAACTAGCCAAGGTACTGAGGAGCTAGGCAAAGGCTACTGATGGGCACCCTGGGCACGCCTGAGCTCCCGTTCACTGAGCATGCTCATCCTGCACCACCTGAAGCTCTGCCCCCACAGAAGCCAGGCCTCTAGGAGGTCTGAGGAGAAGTCAGGCTAACCTTTATGCTTTCCCTTCTTCTCCTTCCTAGGGGCCCCACCCTGGCCCCCCGATGCAGCTGCTGCCTTAGTTTTCTTGGCTGAGGCTGGTGCTGGTGGACGGGTGGCTCCCAGTTGCACACTGGCAAGTGAGTCGGCCTCTTGAACTGCTCAGGAGAGAACCCAAGACAAAAATGGGCATCGGGTGAGATTAGCGTTCCCACTTGACCACAGGTCCCACCCAGCCCTGGTGCAGCTTTTCCCCTGCAACATCAACCCACTCATCTCAACCAGCCATGGGTCAAGGGCAGGACCTCAGCCTACTACAGTGTCGTCGACAGCTAGGAACCAAAGTTCTGCGCCTGGGCAGGTGCAGGAGGAGACGGGGAGTGTCATGAGAATGTGCCATGGAGGACGGGAAGGACACAAAGGCTGTGTCTTCTGAAAGAGACCGCAGACAGGACAGATACTCCTCCAGAAAGTCTGCAGAGCCCGTGGGATCCAGTGTAAGGGAGGAGGGGCTGTATGAAATGAAGAGCTAGGCACAGGAACGGGGAACTACCGGGGAAGGCACAGCCAATGTCCTCCACGATCTCCATACAGGAGGACCCCAATCTGCTCAAAACCTACAGTTTCTGAATGCTCAGGTGACCACCCACAGCCTCCAGCCTGACAGGCTCCCCCGCTCCTTCCTCAGCCTCACCACACACTCTGCCACCCAGCATGCGTCAAGCTATGCCAGGCAGCTTTAGTGCCGTGCACGAACCACGCTCCTTTTATGTTAGCGTGTCATTGCCTGACTGTCCTTTCTATCTGAGTAATTCCTACTTCTGACTTCCTGGGAGCTCCAGAGAAGCTGTCCCCCACTACCCAGGGAGAGCCAGTGCCTTGCCACCTCCTCGCATAGCCTGGCCTCTTCCCACAAGGCACACTGCAACCACCTGCTGAACTCTCCCACCTAGACCATGTAACAGAAGCTCCACGGCCAGCGACCACACCTGTCTGCTCACTACGCACCCACAGCCACTAGTTCGCAGCCCTTCACTGAATACTTAGGAGATTCATGGGTGTGTGCCATGAATGAGCTCAGCCACAGGTCAAACACTGGGAGGGTCAGTTCTGGTCACTCCCTTAGCCACCTCTGGCCGTGAGCGCCTGCATTAACACCAACAGCCAGCAGGTGGCAGGGCACGAGGTAGTTAAAGCTAGGGAATGTAGTGAGCAGAGAAAGCATGGGTCTTGCTCAAACAGCAGGTGTGCAGCAGCCTCTCTCGGCTTTGTCCATCACTCAAAGCTGGGCAATGGCTGCGGGCCCCAGAGAAACAACAGGAACTTCACACATGTCCAGTGTATCCTATGGGGAAGGCCCCTAAAGGCCTCACCGATTCTGATCTCAGTGGGGAACAGCAATGACCTGAATTTGGGCCCATTAATCACCGTGGTTTCTTCCATTTTCTAAGTGCTAAGGCTGACTCCTCCTTTTCATAAGTGAAGCAAAAAGTATGAGAGAGCACAAGCAACTTGCCACATCCATGAGCAAGTCTTGCCATGGTAAAAGGCAGTGGCAAAGCAAGACAGGCTGCACAGGACCAAGAAAGCCAGTGGCTGTCTTCCCTGAAGGAAATTATAACATAGCAAACCAGCTACTTAATGTGATCCTCAGCTCTGTCAAATGCCCAGATACAGCCTTCATTAGCAGGAATAAATAAAGTGTGTTTCTTCAGAGGATGTGTGTGCGCATGTGCCAGCCGCGACCTATACAATCGGTGAATGACTCCCAATTCCTTCCCTTTAAAGCATCACGATGCTGTGGGGTGAACTATCAGCTGAGCTAGCAGAACGGGAAGAACCTGAGACACTGTAGGGCAGCGGGACAAGGTCTTTGGTCAGAGGAAGAAAGTCCTCCCTGAACTGCAAACAATACCTGCAGTTGAATGGGACTGGAGGCTCCAAGCAGAAAGGAATCCCAGAAGAAAGCACTTTCTAACCTACCCACAAAAGGCAGGAAGGCGCCTATGGCCTAACTTCCAATTACATCTGTGCAGGAAACAGCCACCTGCATGGCTGGCACCTCCCAGCAGAGGGCAGTAAAGACTGAGTCTATCTAGTTCCTGTCCCCTGCCTTCTCTCTCACAAACCCTGTGGCACTGAACCCTAGAGAAAGCTGGAGAAAGTCCTGGACACCCAGATGGGCAGGACAGGCTCTGAGATAATTTCCAGACTGGGCTCTGCTGAATGCCAGGTGTAAGGAAGGGAGCCCTGAAGGATTCAGGCCTCAGCCAGGAGCAGCGACCTATAGGTCAGAAGCCAGGCACACTGAGAAGGCAAGACCTCAGAGAGGAAGAGGCAGATGACAGGGAGCGCATAGCCTGAGTAAGACAGGAAGCTAGGAGAGGGATTCCTCACAGGAGAGAATGCTGGTGGGCATAGGAGCTCAGGGACAGATCAGAAACCTGGACCTTGGAACTCCCCGATCCATCCAGCTAGAGCCTTCAGGCCTCAGAACCTGACATAGGAGGTGACCATCTGAACATAAACAGGAGCCCAAGGCTAAGGGCTCTCTCTGCCTTTTTCACTCATCTGTCCAGCTGAGCCAGACACAACATTCAGCGTAGGCAAACCCTACAGGGTGAGTCCTGCGGTTCCCCCAAGTCCCCTATACCACTGATCTCCAGGGTGTGGTACTGCGGTATAGGGGATTCCCCAGACTAGCTATCCCCGGGACAGAGGCACGGTGTACCTTGGTAGCTGGTGCTGCCACTGCTGCTGAGGTAGGACTCCACCAGGGGGGCTTGCTCCTCTGACTGTCGGGCCCGCCGGCTCCGGGGTCGCCCATCTGCATTGGCTTGCACCATCAGAGGCTCCTGGCGCTTCTTCTTCTGCTTCTGCTCCAACAGGGCCCGCTACAGAGGCACAGGGCAGGCACAGAGGTGGACTGGCCCTCCACCTCCTCCAGGAGGGAGCCGAAAGGAGCACCCTGATCTCTGGGCTAGGTTCTAGAAGTTGTACTGGGGCCTCTAGCCTTCTCGGGGTAAGGACTCATGCTGTTGGCATCCGGTGACTGCCAGCTCGGCAGAAGAGGTGAGGACTAGGGTAGGGTTAACATAATATTACAGAGCTGATACAAGAGAGAGTTTGCTTCTCTAACCATCTGACAGGGTCATCCAAAGAAAAGGGACTCATTGCTCCTGGCCCCCTGCTGAGATTCCGCCTGCCCACCAGCCCCAGCCTTACTCACCTGCCGGTCAAGCTTCTGCTGCCTCAGGTTGCTGCCCTCATCATCTAGGACACTGCAGAGGGAGAGAAAGGTATTCAGGGCCGCCCAGGGAGGTGCCAGGAGGTGGTCCAGACCCCACCCCCATCCTTTAACCTCCTCTCATGGTTCCTACTGAGTCCGTGTGGTGGAGGGAGAAAGAAGGGAGGCTGCTGTCTAGGAGCTAATTCAAGATCAGAAGGGAGGGGAAGTCATGTGGTAGTAGAGCACTTTCCTAAGGCCGGTGCATCTGACCCCCAGCACAAACAAAAGAATGCCTTCAAGGCTGGGTGTGGTGGATCATGCCTGTAATCCCAGCTCCAGGAGCTGGAGACTCAGGGTCAGCCTGGAGACCCAATCTTAAAAATTAGAAAACAGAGCACCCAAGCCACATTGCTGCCATGTTGGTAGCATCTCCTCCTTCACTGCCTTGAGGACTTCCGAGCTAGCCTGGCCCTGGTAAGAACAGGATGAAGACCCTTCGGATACCTAAGCAGAGCCAAGCCTGACAGAAAACCAGAGGTATTCAAACAAAGGCATCAGTCCATTAGCCAATCCCAAGAATGCCGGCCTCATGCCAGGACTGCTTCTGCATTTCCTTACCATCTTCCCATCTGCTTTTTTCCATCCTTTCTGGAAAAGCTGGGTCCCCTGAGACAGACCATCGCCCTATCCAAAGTTCCTGGCTCCCAGGCAGGAACAGGGGATGTACTGACACAGCCCTGCTCCCCTAAAGAGGGCAGTGTCCTCATTGGGGAGAGGCTAAAATCCCGTCCAGTTTCAACAGGACAAGGCCAGGGCTAGGTAAGAATAACTGCAGGGTAGATAGAACTAGCTAAGGCATTGCCCAGAAAATGGCTTTTAGCCCTTCCCTGGTCATGGACACAGGACCAAGTAATGCCAAAGGGCATCAGATCCATGAGTCCCACTGGTGAGTCTTAGGTCAGACTTCTTACACAGACTGCTCCTGCTCCCTAAGAAGGCAGAGTAGGAAGAGAGAACTGTTGTGGAATGGTGTTTGTGTACACTTGAAGATATGTTGTTCTCACTGGTTTAATAAAGAGCTAAATGAAAAATAGCTATGCAGGAAGAGGTTAGGCAGGACTTGCAGACAGTGAGAGAGCCCTGGGATAAAGAAGGGTGGAGTCACCAGGAGACTCAGGGAAACGTAAGATGAACATGCTGACCCATGTGGTAGAATGTAGATAAGAAATATCGGTTAATTTAAGTTGTAAGAGCTAGTTGGTAACAAGCCTAAGCTATCAGCAGAGCATTTATAATTAAATAATAAGTCTCTGTGGTTATTTGGGAGCTGGCTGGCAGAACAGAAAATTCCACCTACAGAGAATTAGTAATTTAAGCCACTTAGCTTTCTTGCTAGATCAAGACACTTCAGGTTCAAATTCTACGAAAGGCCAACTCAGGATGCTGCCAGGGGATGAGGTGGAGCCCAAGGCCGGGAATTCTGGAAGCTCCAGGCTGCTTCTCCTAGTTACGCTAGAGACTAGCTGAACCAGACCTATGGGTAGGGACATGTTCAAGTAGGCCCGAGTACATCGGTTTGTGGGGACTGTAAGGAAGTGTATGAGTGGATCTCATGTGTATGCAGGCATCTGTACTATGAGGTAGGTTTGCTTGTGTGAAAGTGAGCATAGTGTGTATGGACAGGAAAAGACAAGGTCAAAAATTACTCCAAAAATGAGGTGTAAAAATGAGGTGCAGTCACGTTTCTCTTCTGACAGCTCAACTCCAGGTCCCTTAAAGTACTTGTAGAGCTAGCCGCCCATCGCCGCTCCACTCCCTGGCCACCTATGGCTACCACGCACCATTTAACTGATAGCAGGCCTTCTCCTGGTACCCCTGGATTGATCTGCACATTGGAGGAGCCCCAACTATATGTAGGGCTGTGTTCAAAATGACCTCATTTACCAAACCCCTGGCTGCTGGAACACAGGAGAAAACACAGCTCAAAGACAAGTCTCTAAGTGTAAGTCTTCCCATGACAGCCCACCTGTCCAAGAACACCTGCATCTGGGGCTCCCAGACACAAAACCAGGTCCCAAGGCGTCAACAAGTGGCCTAAAACCCGAATCTGATTGAACTGGTGAACAACTTGCCTTGAAAAGCACACTGACCCTGTGGGGCACCTCCAGAGACCGAGATCTCTTGGCTCTCTCTCTCGAGAGAGACGTCGGGCCATCAAGACACGAAGGGTCCTGAAAGGCTTTACTACGCACAGCAGTGGCACACACAAGGGCAGAGCGCTCCCTGCAGCTCGCGTCCAAGCCTCTGGCCCACCGAGATCTACAGCAGTGCAACTCACTGCTTCTAGAATACCGGTGAATGCAGTAAGGGCTCTCTCCAGTGACACCTGCTGGCAGGAGCAGAAAGGTCTGCCATCCAGACAGGCTCTGGTTGGGCCCAGTGGCCTCTGATCCTGGCATTTCTGTGCTACTGACCTGGTCTCAGAAGTCCCTGTGTGATCTCCATAGGTCAGAATTGGCTTCCTCTGTGCCAGTGGGCAAGGCTATTTACCTCTTACTGGGATGTCACACTCTTTCAGAGGGCAGTGCTGGGGACAGTGGTTACCTGGGTCATCCCAGGGACTGGTCTTGGCTAAGCAGAACAGAGACCATGTCCTCAGTGCCAGTGAAATTTCTAGAGACATCTAGAAAGGTAAGGTAAGCATCAGCAGAGCCATCTACAGAGAGGCTCCAAGGCAGCGTGGCAACAAAGATGTTTCAGGAAGTGGTGACCTCACCACCGTGTGCCACAGGCAGGTGCTTTCCTACCACAGGGGCTGTCACACTGCCCTGGACCTTCCGTGCAGCTGTGTCTGGGGTTGAATGCTATTTTCCATGAACGCAGTACTTCCTCTCCCACCATCCCCACATTTCCTCTTTGGGAAGACGGACAAAGAGCCACAGGTTGCAGTACCGTTCATTACCAGATAAGATACAGGTAGTGATAAACCAGCCGGCCTCCATCTTGGGCTTGTAGGCTGTCTTATAATAAAGACAAACTAGGGTCATCCCTATTTATAATTAAATCTGTTTCTCAAGGATTGGGCTATGCCCCACATGTAACCTTAACTACAAATGGTTCTGCGCTGCCTGTTCCAGGAAATGGCAACCATGCCTTTGTTTCGGGAGGTTGTTAAGACCAACTTGTTATGCTGGTGTTCTGCTTTGGGGACCCTCCCCCCACCTAGTTGCCTGTCAAATACTCCCATTTGGAAACGCCCTACTCCTAAGCTAGAAAAACCTTATCTTCTCCACATCCAGTGCTGATCTCTTGAGCCCTACTGTAGGGAAGAGACAGCCCATCTATATGAATAAAGCCTGCTGTAATTAATTTGGCCATGATTTGGGCCGGTGGTCTTTCTCCTCAAATCTGTGGGATTAATACCAGAAGGAGCTTAATTGTGGCTTTTAGAGAATGAACCAAGGGCACAGTCTGAGAGATTCTAGAAGTCAAAGACCTATCAGCAGAGTCCAGAGAGCCACCCACCCACCCACTCAGCATCAGGTATGTTCAAAGGGAAGGGTGCATGCAGCATAGCAGGTGCAGTTAGAAATGACTCCCTCTAGGCCCAGCAAGCTGACCGCAGGAGACCCTGTAATACCCGCCCACCCACGTAACACAGAGAAAGCCGGGTTTCTAGGAGCACTGCAAGGATACTGGGAGAAGGCAATGGGGCAGTGACAAGCTTGGACTGGGGAGTAAGGACAATGCATCTGGGCAAAGACAGGTTCCCCGGTGGATAACAAAAGAATCCCCAGCACAGCAGCTTGTGCTGAGGAACAGTGACAATTATCATGACTGTCTCGAGGGGGAGCAGAACCAAAGCTCCCTCCCTGCCCCCACCCGGCTAGCCCTGCCTCTTGAGCTCCTCTTGCGGCATCATTCCTGGGGTGTCTGTCCTTCTTACAACACCTCCCAGGCCTGCCTCTCTGACGGGCACCGTTCTAGGCTGCACTGAATGATAACCATGCAAGGAGACATTAATGGCTTTTTAATGACTTTGGTTCCAAATACGGAATCACTGCCAAGCCCAGGCTGCCAGCTGCAGCCCCGCCAGAAGGCTCAGACAGAGACAGGGCACTGATGGATGGGTCTTCCAGCTGACCCTGGCAGCTCCTTCATTATGATCACCTCCTACTGGAAGCCAGACCTAGAAGGCCAGGGAATGTTCTAGTCACTGGCTCCAGTCTGCAGTATCCCCCAATTTGGCTGCTCTAGCCAGGGTTAAAAGGGTGGCAACTTCAACTCCCACCGAGACAGGCTATCGACAGCCACGCACTCCCCTGGAGGGACCAGACAGGTTTCTAGGGACTTGTGCTGTGGGCTGGAAAAGTACAATATGGCCAGTATTATTAGGAAACCTGTTTCCATCCTTCTTTTCCTCCATTCCACTTTGTAAACTCTAATTCATCATCAATACCAGAGGCCCAGGCCAGGACAACACAGAGACAGACTCGGCCGTCTGGATGCTCCATCCAAGCCCATTTTGCAGCCTGCCCCTTGTTTCCTACCTCATTTCTTCCCTCAGCCATAGCAGAAGCTGTTCTGAACCTAAAAATCAGAGCAACAGGCTATAAGGACAGGCCAGCCAGAATGCCTGGCTGCACCCCCTGTGCCAAGCACCAAAATGAGGGAAGTCTATGGCCATGGCTCCCACTGCCTAGCAGCTGCTTGGCACACAGTTGGAAATGGGGGCAGGAGCTCTCTGAGGATGTGCCATTGCCTTCTGGCCAAGGGTTCCCAAAAACACTAGGTGAATTAAAACCAGCGGCATTAGCTTTGGCTTAGTAACTCAGAACTACTGGGGAACACGCTCCAGAATCAATTTTGTTGTTTTAAGCAAGTACCACGGAGTTCTCTAATAATTGGCCATGCAAATGATTCTTGTGACCACAGCCAGTGACCTTCAAAGAGGAAGAAACTGGAGTTTCCAGAAGGAATTGCCTGCGGTTGTCAAAACCAGGCACCTGAGGCTAAACGTGGCAGTAGAACTGAAGGGGTGTGTGAGGGGGG